CATATTATAATCTGAAACTTAGGAGCCAAACTTTGTCCAGAAAAAGGAGCTTGGATTGTTAATTTCATCACATTCGTTTTTGAAATTAGTTTTCATGAAAAAGAACTTATGGTTGATCAAGACTTAACTCCCAATTTAGTCCTTGAAAGGTTTATGATGTTAGATTAGTTCCTCTCTGAAAGATTTGTATCGTTAGTATAGTCCGTCAGCAATGAAATGTGTCAACAGTTAGTCCCTCCGTCAGCTAAGCTTCCTTCAGAAACACCACTAATGGATTCCAATGTGACCCATTGTGTGCTAATATGTTCCATTAAATGCCTTCTGGAAATCCATGTGGCAACACAACCTAAGCATCCTCCACTTAGTGCACATGCTGGCAAAATGACTAATCTGATGAGATGTGAATTCTTAAGGAATTAAAGTAATGGCATGTGAATCTTTGAGTGACAAAAAAAAATGGGGGTTAAGTGCAAAACTCTTTTTTCTACTTACAATACTAATATACAGTGCCAGGGTAGTTGTGGCAGGAATTTTTCTTTGGTGATCTTTGTCGGTTTGGTTAATTTATGGGTGGAGCTACTGTTTAGAGGTAGCTATGGGCAACCTTTTTCATGGTTGGTGGTTTTGGCTTCTCTATTCTCTGTGATGTGCAGGAGGTATGGGTTCTATGGTTGCTTGCTGGGTACTAGGTTGATGTCTGCAATGAAGGAGGTGTTATGTTTGCATTTGCATGAAATATGTAAAATCTCTTGCTTTTGAGGTTAAAGGCTTGCTGTTCTGGTCAGTTGGCTCTCCGTTTGTTGTAGAATGTGTTGGAGTTTTGTTTGTTATAATTAAAGTGGTAACACGTCATCACTTGAATTCCTCGAAGATTCACATGTCATCATGTTAGCCCTCTTGCTAACAACTTTACCGCATAAATGTTTAGGTGGCTTTACTGGATGCTTAGGTGGCATTTAATGGGCCACATATGCACTTAACAAGCCAGGTCAATCTATTAATGATATTTCTAACAGAGGCTGGGAAAAGGACTGACGTGGCAACACATTTCACTGTTATGGGTTTAAACTGATGATACAAATCTTTCAGGGACTAATTTGAGGCTCTGTCATCCATGAATCTTTTGGGGACAAAAATGAGGGTAACTCAATTGATCAAATAATGAACTGGAATTTGGTATTTGATCTTGTGACATTAATGAACCCTTGATATATTCTGTATATGCTCATACATACTCATGACTTAACTCTGCAAGCATAAAATCTGTTGTAACTTGTTAAGTACTAGTTCCGAGATTAAAGAAAGAATGCAAGAAAAGATAGTAATTTATTGATGAGATCTCCCTTAACCAGAGTTTAATGTTTTATGCAACATGAACAGGTTGGTGAGGATGAATTTGGATATATGCTTGCTGATATACTCAAGGAAAATAATGTAAACAATGAAGGCATGCGTTTTGACCCTGGTGCACGAACTGCTTTAGCATTTGTTACATTGAGGAGTGATGGGGAGCGAGAGTTCATGTTTTATCGTAATCCTAGTGCTGATATGCTGCTCCAAGAAGATGAACTCGATTTAGAGTTAATTAAAAAGGTAAAACCAAAGTTGCTATTCATGGTTACCAACTAAAGACAAATGTATGCCATAATCCACTAGAGTTCAATCAAAGCAAAATGAAATCACTATTGACCAAGTTATTCAATATTCTTTCTTTTGCACTTTTCTCAATTAAGTTAACTTTGCTCAATTACTCAAAATCACTTCGTTAACTAGTAATTTTGGGATTTGTTTAAACATTACAACTCATTGTTCAAGGACCTAAACCATCATTTTGATTGCTTACATAGCATTGCTGTTTCTGTAGTTTAAGAACTCCCTTTCAAGTTTCCTTAATATCGGGCAAAACATCAAAATGGTTGCTGAATTTATGTTCCTTTTTATTGTTTCTACTTTGACTCTACTTAATTCATGAATTATTTTTATTTCTTTCTGCCAGGCCAAGATCTTCCATTATGGTTCTATAAGTCTTATTACAGAACCATGCAAATCAGCACATATAGCTGCAGCGAAAGCAGCAAAAGATGCTGGTGTAGTTCTCTCTTATGATCCTAACCTGAGGCTTCCTTTATGGCCTTCAGCGGATAGTGCAAGAGAAGGAATTCTGAGTATATGGGAGATTGCAGATATCATCAAGGTTCATCTCCTATCAATAATGCAGAATATATGCTTTTACCAGTAGACTTTTCTTCCCTTTTTCTATGGTACAGATTACTGGGGAATGTGAATTAGAGAAACAGTACCATCTCTAACATAACCAATCTGATAATTATTCAGATAAGCGAAGAAGAGATTTCTTTTCTCACAAATGGTGAAGACCCATATGATGATGCTGTTGTTCGTAAACTTTTCCATCCAAACCTCAAGCTCCTCCTTGTTACTGAAGGTGCGGAAGGATGCAGGTATTACACCAAGGTAAGCCTTCCAAGAATGCCATTTCCCAAAATTCATTTTATTTCTTTTGTGGGCACCTTTCGGTGTATCTCCAAAGGAATGCCAGTAACAATTAACAATTGAATTGTTTCTGCATAAACTGTACCCTCATAATCATATTCCTGTCAGCTTAATAATTGAAACAGGTTATTTCTAGCAAATACATTATACTTATAGATCATTTTGCAGTGTTGGGTCATAAAATAAAAAAAATCGCACAACTCTTCTATAAACTGGATGAATATTTCCTCTGTATACCAATGAAGGCAAGCCCTTGAAGTATTTTAACTCAGGATCAAGTGTCCTGTAAATAGATTTGGTGTCACTTGAACTAAGGTTCTTGGGAAATTTGGTTTACTTTTTAAAAAATTGGGCTGTTAATGAAAGATATAGGTAATAATCAACCTTGTATAGGTCAAAGGTTAATGTCCTTGTTGCAAGTCTTGTAGATATACATTATTTGAAACTGGAAATAATTGAAAACAATATCAGGGATGTTTTGTTATTACTTGATCCACAGTGATTGACATCCATATCTTCTTTCAGAAATTGATTACAAACTACTAAAAGTCCTATCTATGCTGTAATTACATTTATGCTGCTAGTTATAGTGTATTGTTGATAATTATAATTTAAAACCTGTCCTATCTATCTCTTTTGCAGGAGTTTAGTGGTAGAGTCAAGGGTTTGAAGGTGGATGCTGTTGACACCACTGGTGCTGGTGATGCTTTTGTGGCTGGAATATTATCACAATTAACCGTGGATCTTTCATTACTTCAGGCGAGCAAAAGAATTTGCTTTTGATATTATCCATCATGAAAGTTTGCATCACACAACATTTCTAATCGATTGAATTATTCACCGAAAAAATAAAAACGAATTTATTGCATGTGAATTGAATACTACGATTTTATGCCTGTCACCTAATATAAAACAGAGAAGACTTGAAACAGGCTCAATCAAAATTGCTTTGCAAATGTATCCCCACAAGTGAGGTTTAGTTGTAAATAATTGAGTAATACTTCAAATTAGTCCTTAAAATTATGAACACTAGTTAATAGTGTTTAAAATTAAAAAAATATTTAAAATTACCAAACATATGTCATTTAAAATTATCATAATTTGATAATTTCATGGATTAAAATGATAATTTTAAAACTTCCAAGAACTAAATTGATCAAAGTCCCTAGTTTCAAGGACTACTTTAGTGTACTAGTAGGAAGTAACCTAAGTCTAGCCAAGCCTGCCTGTAATTGGGGAAAATTAATGATGTTTAAGACTACAGTTTACGTTGCAATGTTTCTACCATTTCTGCTTCATTGTTTCACATAATTTATGGATAGAGTAGAAAAATTAGTGTGGATTCATTTATTTCTCTCTTTCAAGCTTGAGTTCAATTTTAAAATATCTCGTTATATTTGCTGTCGTCTGAAAATTTTAGTTTCTTAATTCCCGATGTCTCTGGATTATTTTTAGTCAATTTATATTTCGTCTTTTCTTCATTATATATGTATTCTTAAAAGTTAAGTATATGGTTTGAACTTGCAGAAGGAGGAACAATTGAGAGATTCTCTCAAGTTTGCTAATGCATGTGGTGCATTGACTGTGACAGAGAGAGGTGCAATACCAGCTTTACCCACAAAGGAAGCTGTTCTGAATTGCATGCTTAAGCCCGTATCATAAATTTACACTCCAATCTCTGTAATTATGTGAGGACTGAGGATTTTTTGGGGGAATTTTCTTGGGAACTTAGTGATCTAATGCAATAAATAAGAACCAATTGTTTCCACAATTAAACTAGTAAAGTTAACTCTTGCGATACACGGAATCGTTTCGCTAATTATTAATGTAATTAATACTTTCTTTAAAGGATATAGTTTACTTTTGATACGTTGTTAATATAAAAAATTTTACATTAGAAAATATTATGAATAAGACTTTTTAAAGTAACCTATGAATATAAAAGTTTTATGTTTTTAAAATTATTTGATAACTTGTGCTTAAATTATGTAAAAAAATTATAGTCAGTACACTTCTATTAAGTTTTAAAAACCATGAATTATCTTAAAAAACAAATAATATGAAATAGAAGATGTATATTAATAAGATAATTAAACCCATTAAATGATGGGAAAATATATCATTAGTTGTTATTATAAAACTTTTTTACTCTTTGATGATGCAAAATTCAAAGTGTTTCAATATGACCAACCATAAAGGTTGTTTATACACTAGGCTTAATTGGCGTACCATATAATTCTTCTCTTCTCCCATCCCCCCAAGACCTATGACCTATTATATAGTTTCATATTTCTTTAGTCTTATATTAGTAAATTCATAAGATGAGTTAGAGATGAGTTAGAGATGAGTTAAGTAATTAATAATTATTATATCATTTTTTTAGTAAAAGACACATAAGTTTGTTTATAATTTTTATTGAATGATTTTATTTTAAAAAACAAAATTACATATTTTAAACATAAAAATATGTTTTAAATAAGAAAAAAATATTTATTAAATTATCACAAAAATAATATCAATTATAATTAAAGAAGATTATAAAAATTTCATTATGCTAATTTAGCTTTTGCATTTGTTAAATCTGGTAGGATAAAAGCCAAATCCTCTAAAAGAAGTTATGTGGATGTAGGGGTCTTTTCACATTCTCAAGTAGGAAATTGAGCCAATGGTAAAAACACTTTCAAGTTTCAACCATGACCCTGAAAGATCATGCACCTCCATTCCATTTCCTGAACAAATTTTAGATCATTTTCAACCATAAATAAGTATAGTAATACGGTTGTGCACTATGACCAAATCTTCTTGTTACCAAAGAGGACACCCCGCTATTAAAGGGTGTCCTTACATCATGCTCATCGACCCCTTTAAAAGCCAAGTTCTAAGCCTTTGACAAATCTCCAATTTCAGTGCAACTCCAAAACCAAAAGGAACTCGTTGTCATACACACATTCTATCTGCAATGGCTGATGATCCTCAAGATGTGGCTGACAGAGAGCGCATTTTCAAGAGTTTCGATGCCAACGGCGATGGCCAAATCTCTTCATCAGAGCTTGGAGAAGCACTGAAAACACTTGGATCAGTGACAGCAGAAGAAGTGCAAAGAATGATGGAAGAGATTGACACAGATGGGGATGGCTACATTTCCTATGAGGAGTTCACAGAATTTGCCAGAGCCAACCGTGGCCTAGTGAAGGATGTTGCCAAGATTTTTTAAGTTAACCCACTTTTGTTAATTCAATTTCATTCTTCTTTTGTGCTATGTTTTCAGCATTTGGAAGAGAAAAATAGTTCTTGTGTGTGCATGCTTTCTATATACATATAGATGACAATGAGAGGTTCATTCAATTCATGATGTCAGCCTCTTTTGAACCTTTTTCATTTACATATTAGAACCGCTTTAATAGTTGTATTGATTTGTCCAACGTTTGGTTTCATCTCATACGTGTTCTATCTGACCAATGTAAATGAGATGATATACTTTAAAAGGAAAAAAAAAAAAAATACAATTATAACTGTTAATTCAAAAAATTTAATAACTTCATAATTTATTATACTTGTATATCTGTTGATTTTCTAGTCCATTTTATAACTACACTTAATTATTCTCTAAAATGCGACCCCTTAATTTGGAAGAACTAAATAATATTATAAAAGAAGGTGCTTGACCCTTTTTCTCATCGCAAAGATACGTGACTAACATGTAGAGATGATCTAATCTTAAATGAAACCTGCTTTAAAATACAAAGTTTGTAGTTTTATACGTCATATTTACAAGCGAAGTATTTAGACACGTTACATGGTTTTATATCTATCTTCACCTAATACTCATCCATTCCTTCCATTGTCTTGGTTGTGTGCCATTTCTTTTGCTTAAATCGGTGGAGAGAGAACAAGAACAAGGGTATTCTTTAACTTATATGCTTTAGAGCCAAGAAAAAGAATGCCAAGAACTCAAAAGGATAAACAGACAATAAAGAGTTTTACAACATGAATTGAACATAACCATAAAGAATGAATGAAAATCTATTACACTATACCCCTTTGAGAAAAGGGGAAGGTAAAGGGAAGAAATGTACAAACAAGTAACCTTCCTCTCAGCTCCTATTTCTATCAACAACTTGAAAACGTTCCCATCTAACCCCTAGCACTACAGTGAGAGTCACGTCATGGCAAACAAAAAAAGTCTTAATGGCCATAAAGATAATCACCATCCTCATACTCATACTCAGGAACTCCTAGCATTGCCAAAGCCAAGAAACTATCCATCTCATTATTTGTTTGTTGTAATTGAGGGTAATAATCAATCAAACATCCATTCCCAAGATAACCAGACTTCCTTCTTTTAGATAAAACAGGCTCTATTTCACCTTTCAGTATTGCAAGAATCTCATGCATGCTAGGTCTCCTAGATTCTTCACTTGTAACACAAGCAGCAGCTGCATCAACCATTCGAGCCATTTGCTTTGAGTATCTTAACTTGTACTTGACTTGAGGATCAAGCAACTCTTCAATTGCTCCTTTACCTTTTTTAAGCAAAGGTTTAGCCTGAAAGAGAACGTCATATTTTAAGGTGTCAAAAAGACCATGTCCATTTGATATTGCTGTTCTTATACACAACTACACAATTAAATGCCAGAGGAAATTACCAACAAAGATTTAGTCATAACTGCCAAACGTAACTATTTTACAGCTAGATCAAGCAATTTTACTATAGAATCAGATAAAATGACCAATGTCAATTTATTCTGTTGGTTTCTAATAGGTATAAACAACTAGGCTATTATTATTGTCGTGTTTTATAAGTTAGAAACTGATGGGAAAGTCCAGTGATTCACATCATTGCTTTGTTTTACAATCTCAAGCCATAAAAATTGACCATTAACTTACCCATAAAACCAAGTTTTCCTCTCCTGGAGGCCTTTTTGCTTCAATTGGCTTCCGGCCAGTTAAGAGTTCCAATAAAACAACTCCCAAAGCATAAACATCAGTCTTATCTGATACTTTCCCATGTTGGAAATACTCAGGAGCCAAGTAACTGTTCAAAAAGGGAGGTATAAAACACTTGATTTCAATTAGAATATGAAAACAAATAATGCAAAAGACCAAAAAAATTGCTGGAATCAACATGAAAGGGTTAAGTTCATACCCAAATGTTCCTTTGACAGTTTTGCAAAGGAAAGGAACTGAAGGTGCAGAAGTCCATGTTGCTAATCCAAAATCACATAACTGCAATTTAACAAAAGCCATCAGAATGACTTGTAAGGGCAGCTTATGAATTATGACACAACTTCCACAACACTATTCTACAGCTGACCACAAAGAGAGTATCTTACCTTGGGAATTTTCTTAGAGGAAAGCAGAATGTTTGAAGGCTTAATGTCTCTATGGACAACACATCTTTCAGTTCCATAATGGAGATAAGCCACAGCTTCTGCAATCCCAATTGAAACTTTATACCTCACAGACCATGGAAGTGGTGAACTACCCCTCACACTCTTCTTCCTCCCTATAGAAAATAGCACAGCTACAATCAGTGAAAATCAGCTGTAAACACTATATCAGAGTCAAGGAAAAATAAGAGAAAATGAATACTACCGTGCAAGTGATGCTCTAAGTTGCCCCCTGATACATACTTGTACACCAAAAACAAACCCTGTTCTGAGTCAATACAAAATCCCACAAGGGGAACAATGTTTGGGTTATGAAGAGAACTAGCAATCATCAATTCTCTACAAAACGCCTTGGCGCACTCCTTGTCTTCCTTATCCAACCTTTTAATCGCAACAGCGGTCCTTAAAAGCCCAACTCTTCCTCTGAAAACACAGCTCAAGGCACCTCTCCCCAATACTCTCCCTGCCCATAACAAAAAAACAATGACACAAAGGAATCAAATTTGATTTTTTGTACATTCGAGTAAAAAGCTTTATTACTTATTTGTTCAATAAGCTCTTGTGACACAAACCTTATGCCATAAATTTAATCAAGAAACTTATTAGAATAAGCTAAAATGAGCTTATTTTTATAACTTACACAAAATTTATTGAAATAAGTTAAAAATAACTTATAAAAGTCAGAAGTTATTTTCGTAAACTCAAAAAATCTCTCCATGAACTCTTTCAAACACTCCCTTCATCAATAGAAAAACTATCTCTCTCAGTCTCTCTCTCTCTCTCTCTCTCTCTCTCTCTCTCACACACACACACACACACACACACACACAAAAGTTACCTTCGGAGAAATTGCGAGTGGCTGATAGAATTTCACCATAGTTGAACCTGATCAACGTGTTGACCACAGGAGATATGTTTCTCTCCAGTGACTTTATCCTCCTCCATTTCATCTCCCTGGCTTGAGATTCATATTCCAAATTCACCATCAAAACGGTTGCAGCAGAAGAAGAAGAACTCATGTTGAAGGACTCAACCTCAACCTGAGAACAGAAGCTGAACCTGAAAGATGAGTGAACAGATTGAGGGTCAGCACTTGCCAATTCTGCTCCAGACTCAGCCAGCAACCACGCCTTGTTGTTGTGCTCCAAAGTTGTATTTTTTATACCGTTAAGGTCGTTATTGCCACCACAAGGAACAGCAACAAATGCATAGGTAAAGTCCCAGATCACTTTTCTCAAAAAGGTTCTGAATTTGAGCCTTTTATGGTCAGAAAAGTCATTTACAACTAAAGAGGAAACGTGTGCATTGGAAGCCTCATTGGTGTCAGTACAGTTTCCTTGGGAGAAACAGAAATCCATCATGAAGTTTATCCTAACAACAGCACAGAAAACAAAAGGCAAGAACAAAATAAAAAGGATAAACAAGAAAAGGGTAGAGAAGTTTTTTGCTTGTTGGGTTGGAGAATATTTTCTCAACTGCAGAAAAAAGAAGAGAGAAAGATTGGATTAATATAAGGTTGCATCATATTGAGAAAAGGTGAATAAAAGTTGGGTATCATGGGTGTATTTGGTGAATGGTGATTTTTAGCTATGGGAAAAGATTTTAATATGTAATAAAGAGAGAGGAGAGAGCATGAGTTGATGGTGAGAAATGAGGAAGAAGAGAATCTTGTGCTTTTGAGACAGAAGATGACAGAAAGAAGAACACATAAAGGAACATTTTTCAGCATAATATAGTTGTTAAGTTGGTGGGGGTTCGTGAAAAAACATATATATAAAAATAAAAAGAGGACTAGTGAACATGTAATTATCAGAAGCTTTTGACAGAGAGAAAATTGGCCTCAAATAAGATGTTAAGATTAAAGTATCATGGATAAAATTAATAGCTGTGTTGGAAGATAGAGTTCTGTTTTTTCATCTTCTTGGTTAAATAAGAGAAACTTAAAAAAAGAAGTTTGTGATGTAATAACTTTTAATGCTTACGTAATGTCTAAGCAAATATTCTGAGTTATTTAAAAGGGGTTTGGAACGTCAAGGTAAAATTAAATTTTGAATCTTCTTTTTATTTTTTTACTCTTGCGTTATGGGAAAGAAAATCATGAAAATAATTAAAGCTATTATTGTTATGTATGATTCTCTCATAGCATAAGAAAAAGATGAAAGAAGGATGAAAGATGTTTATCCAGCAAAATCGATGTCAAATATGCGGTTGGCTTTGCTGTCTGGTGACCATACAGCCAATCCCTCCAAATCAATGTTTGTTTCTTACAATTGTCTCGGTTGATTATATACATATATATCCAATTTTTTTAAATGTTAGAATTCTTTGTACGGTTTAAAGTCTAAACAATAGATAAACGTAATAAAAGATAATTTTTTAAAATTGAATAAAATTATTATAAGTGATTAAGTTCTTTTAAAGTATTTATTACAGTTTCATATCAAAAGTTTGAATTGAAAATTATTAATTAAATAGGAACAATTTTATATTAATTAATCTCATTATTTGGTGGTAAAAAATATTTAAATTCATAGAAAAATTCATAGAAAAATTAATTTATTTCATTTAAATGATAAATCTATGCTGTCTCTTTAAATAATAATAAACTAATTATTTTTATTTTTAAATTTTAATTATTTCAAAAATATCTTATACAATAAAAGTTAATAAAGTTATTACTATGTGGCTTTTGGATTTTGATCGAGATTTTGTAATATGTAATAATAACTACATATATAATATATAATATACTGAGGTATAATTAAGTTTTTATATTATTCAATAAATATACGTGTACCTTATTATTAAGAAGTGGTATAACCATTTTATAATTAAGGTTTCGTAATTAGTTCTTTCTGAACCGTTTAGGCAACCCCGTTATACTTCCAGTATAATTGGGTGGGTTATTTTGCAAATTTATCTGGTAAAATTATTTAAAAAAAGTACATAGCAATAATTTTATATATCTATTTCAATTTATTCAAAAATGTTTTTCAATAGCTTTATTAAAGATTTGAACTTAAAAATAAGTCAATTCAAACATATATCAAAATTTAATCATTTTATGGTTTATTGTACATTATAAATATATTTTATCATAACATGTTAGTTTTTTAATAATTTTGTTAATCATTGTTCTAAGAATTATACTTAGGTAATTAAAAATAATTTTTAAAAGGTATATAATATTTAATGTTATAAATACATATTTATTAAGATTTTATCATTAATTTATGGTCCATGGTTAGTAAAACTGATTTTTAATAAAGTAATATAGATTTATTTTATTTTAACTAAAGCATACTTGAAATTCTATTTCTGGTTAAGGGACTAAGTTCATCATGACACGTGGAGTGCAGTTCCGGATCCTAATGGGGCCTACGTATACCTGAAATGGACATGAACCGCACATTGATCTCCAACCATGTTTTTTATTATGTTCATCGATATATCTTCTTGGTAGTTTAAACTAATTTTTTGATAGGTGTGAAAATTATTAAAGAATGTTTAGTATTTTTTTTTATTACATATACGTTTAAGAATTAAATTCGTTTTAACATATTTAAGAAACTCAATTATTCATTAATAGTGTCGGGTCTTTCCAACTTCAATTATTTATTAAAAACATAATTCCTTAATTTTAATGATTGTTGTGGCACATTTTAATTTTTTTAGGTGAAAATTCAACAATTTTTATATTTACATGAACTTCATCCAACCACCTCTTAAACTGATTTACTATGTTAATGGCTTAATGCGTTTGAGTCTAATAAAATAATATATTTTGACTTGTAAATCTATTAACCAGTTAATGACAACTAAGCGAAAAATTAGTTGATGGAATAATTATAGTTTAGCTAAATAAGAGGAATACTAATTATGTAATTGTTATTTTTTTACAAGAGAGAAGTTTTTATTATATCTTTTAATTGATTAACACTGTAAAAAATTATACTTTAACATTGTATAAAAATTAAGTTATACATAAAAATAAATGAAAAATAAGAGCTCACTCAAATAAATAAAATACAAAAATAAATTAAATAAAATTAGATACCGTAAAAAAAAATTTCTAATGCTCAATAAATAAATTAACGTAATATGTAAAATCATAATTTATTATAACTATTAATGACTTTTAAAAAAAGTAAAAAATGAGAGTATTATAGAGTATGAACCGCCCATTGATCTCCAACCACATTAAATGTTTAGAAAGGATTGTGACACAATTTAGATTTTAAAATTAAAAACAAAATTACTGTTATTGGGATTATAAAAAAACCAATCTGTCCATTTCAATACATCACGATGACTAATCTCAAAAATATAGTAAATTATTGGAATAATAAAACAATTAAAATTTTATTTAAATTAAATTAATGTAAATATGTTTTTCAGATGTCAATTAGATGCAAAGTTATGCTGCAATTATTTATTTAGCATTAAAATTTAATATTTTTTATTTTAAGAAATATTTTATGTTTTGTTTCTTACTTTTGTAAACAAATAAAAAATATTACCTTATCTTCATCTTGTTTTCTGTTTTTAAAGAATTATGTATATCTTTAAGTATTTATGTATAAATATTTTTAAAATAGAAAAATAAAACGAAATAAAGCTTTATAACTATTTATAAAAACCAAAAACATTTTCTTTAGTCAAACGCAACTTTATAATTCATGTCTCTTTTAGCTAGAAGATTCCCTATATTTTGTTTTTGTGTAGCTACTCTTCAAACACACGCACGCTCTGTTATTATTGAAGTCCCACATTTTAAGTGGCAGCGGAAATAACTAACGCTTTTTATTTAATTTTTTTAAGTTATTTAATGGATAGATAATAAAAACATCAATTAATTAGGCTAAGAAAATAATTAATAAAGAAACCTATTTATTTATCTTACTATAAACAACTCAAACAATAAAATAAAACATCCATAAAAGAACAAACGAAGATACAAATACAAATACATACATATATATATATATATATATTATTTTATTTTTGTATGTGCTTTTTTATATTAAATTTGGTATGTTTCTGCCAATTATTAAAACGATATACAGGTTTGAAGAAGCATATAATTGTTCCAAAGAAACTGCTAAAGAAACATAAATTTAAAGAAAAGAAAAAAGAAGAAGAAGCTATAAGCAAATGTAGACGCGAGATTAGTTGAGATGATTTTATTTCCGTTCTTATTTTACCTAAAATTTATATATTTTTTTTATTAAATCTCGATCCAATTAGTATTAAAAAATTATTTTTAATTAATAAATTAAAAAACAGATATTTAATATATTAAAAAATATAATTTCTGAATTGCTAACAAATTTTTAAAGACACTAGTCATTATTATTTATCTTAATTTTATTTGAATAAATTTTCAAAATCTTCACTTGGCGGAATGGCAGGACTTCTTTACCGATATATAATGAACATATGAACCTTTCAATATCACCTTCAGATATTGATTCACCAGTCACTAATAAATGCGTTGATGTTGAATAACTAAATTAGTGTTTTCGATAAATATCATTTCAAACCAGTCTTTTCAATAGTATTTTATAAAGGTAATGGGATGCTAATAAATTTCATTTAAATACTGATTAAAATTAAAACAAAAAATTATATAAACAATTTTACTGATATATTAAACTGTATTTTTAAACGTAGTTATTTCTTTATTTTTAATAAAAAATGAATCGGTTTTAATTAATATTAAATAAATTTGCTCGAAGGATCATGTAGTCAATGCTCGGTCCTTATAACGATTAGTATGTAATAAAAAATTAGGAATGCAATTAATGAATTGGTTAGGCATTCTAAAATTAATTTCTGACAAGCTCAATAAAATTGATGCAAAACAAATTTAGAGGCTACATAGGACCCAACGCAGGTGGGGTAACGGAGTGTCGACTCTTAAGAAACTCAATATTAAGTGTTGATATCATGAATTATAAGAAAATGTTTAGTAAATATTTTAATGGACATTTAATTGTTTATATCTTATGCGAGGTCAGCAAAAGTGATAAATAAAACATTAATTAAAGTGTGTGTAAATTAATCAAAATTATAAATCATACTCTCTTCGTTTCTTGTTAATTGTCTTGTTTTAAAAAAAAATAAATTCTTTTTTATGTGTCTCATTAGAATTTTAAAAATATTTTTTTATTATACCCTTATTTTTACATAAATAAAATGGCTAATTAATTTATGCAAATTTCAAAAATTAAAGGAAAGTCTTGATAATATACTCTATTTCTTAATTTTTATAAATAGATTTAATTCTCACACTATCTATTTCTTAATTTTTATAAATAAATTTAATTCTCACACTACTCTATTTCTCAATTTCTATAAATAGATATAGCTAATATTGTCAAAAAGAAAGAGTTAAGAATATTTTGTGAATAGCTAATTTTTTAAAACATTTATTAATACTAATAACTCTAAGTAAGTTATGGAGTATTCAAAATTCAATTTAGAAATAATTTAATAAAAAAATATAAGTGTAAAATAGGAAAGTAAATATCAAAATTTAGTGATTCAAAAATATTAAATGATTTTTTTAATCTATATGTTTTAACCTTAAAAAATAAATAAAAAAGAACAGAGAGAATAATAGTCAACTACCTTTAGCTACGTGAATAAAGAGAGTTTTAAAGATAAGTATGAAAAAATAAAATAATATAATATATTAGACATTTTAAAATTAAAAAATAAGCATTTTTTATTTTAAAATGAATATAATTTTAACATAAAATAGTTTAACTTTAATTTTATGTCTTACAGTTTTAATATTTGTGCTGGGGACTTAACTTTAACATGTATTGTGCATACTTGAAGGAGGAAGGGAATCATCCTTATAATGGTGCAAGTGACTCATAACCAAACTCTAAATGTGCATAACGATGGATGATTGCAATATTTAGTGATGTATATTTTGATTTCATAGTCTTTTATAAGACATGTCAATCTCAAGAGAAGTTAGAATTCGAAATATCTAATTTGAGTTTGACATTATAAAACGAAAAATAAAAATAATAAATTTAATGTGAAACAGTTGGCCTGTAATGTTGACTAAGCCTAGACCATGAAATAGATAAAGAAGATTCTCGAATCATGATTGCATGATATTAATCCAATGCTCTATATACTTTCGAATATTTGGAATTCGACCTATAAATTTTATCTTACTATACTAAAATTAAATAACAAAGACATTATAACACCAAGTGGGCGTGCCGGAGTGGTTATCGGGCATGACTAGAAATCATGTGGGCTCTGCCCGCGCAGGTTCGAATCCTGCCGCTCACGTTTTAAACTTTCCCATCAGTTTTTAAAAAGATAATTCTAAAATGATTAAAACGAGTAAAACGCTAGAAGGAGGGCTTGAACCTCCGACCTTGTGGTTAACAGCCACACGCTCTAACCAACTGAGCTATTCCAGCTTGTTGAGATGTGCGAAACATATTTTATAAAACATATTCTTAATTTGTTATATTTTTATTAATAGATTTTTTATTTTTCTTTATCTCTGTATGTTAAAATTTATAAAATATTATATTTATTATTCTTACTTATTTGATGCCAATTTTAATTAAATAATGCTATTTAAAACACTCTTACTATAAATATAATAATAAAAATATAAAATTTGATACTATAAATAAAATGACCATAAATATTCAAAAGTAATAATAAACAAAAAAATTATATATTATTTGACCAGTCTAAAAATAAGAAATATATTAGTAAATATTATAACAATTCATTTTAAATAAGAATAAAAATAACTTTGACAAGGAGGTAGCACAGCAATATCAGATTCTTGTCCTTTGAATTCCACAAACCATTAGAGCAGTCTAGTTCTTCTTCCTCCTCGGGAGTGGAAAATAAAGCCTAGAGAGAGAAAACTGTCACTCACTCATTTTCCTTGATGGTTTCATCTTCTGAACCACCATCTGGAACTCCCGTTCCTCTTCACCGTTCCGCTACTCGTAAGAGCCGTATTTCTTTTAAGCTTTCACTCTAACTTTTCGCAATTTCCCTCTATTTCGCGATACTTGGATGAGGTTTAAGACTGTGTTTGGGTGAGTTGAGCTTTTGTAATGTTGAATTTGAACAATATCACTTTTTTAAAAAATAATTTGATTAAAAATAAGCTGGAAATGTGTTTCTAAACTTTCATTTAGCATGTTTAACTTAACTTATTTAGGTTCTTCTGGAAAAATTGCTATTGTTATTTTTTGAAAATGCATATACGCTTACTTATGCAAAAAAAGGCTATATTTCTGTACATAATCAACAAAAACACCATATTTAAATTAATTTTCCTAATTACGCTTATTTTATTGGGCACTTTTTAATCTGCTTCAATATTAAACACACAAAATGGTCCCTAATAATGTTATGGTTTGTTCTATTTTCTGGAAGGCTTTATGCACAAAAATAATTTGCAAGGGTTTGCTCAAAGGTCAAACATTGCATTTCCAATATATCAAACTATCAATGAGGGACAACAACATGCTCCAAAGTTTAGGTCAACGGTGTGGGTGGATGGGACGAGTTTCACTTCCCAAACTACTTTTTTCCATAGAAAAGCTGCTGAACAGGAAGCTGCTAGACTTGCTTTGGAGTGCCTTACCGAAAGAAATAGAGAAGAAGGAACCTCTCGCGTCTGTGAGGTATGTTGTGACAAAATTGTTGGTGTTAATTTCTGTAGTTGCAGCTTCAGTTTGATTGACCCATACTTAGTAACTTTGAGTCAATATTTGTTAATAATATGTTCCAAAGTTCTAGAGCTCTGCGACATATTAGGTTTGTTTTATGTTTACTTTGGGTCCAGTTGTAATAAGAAGAATTTGTTTCATTTTTTTTTTGTTTTTTTTTTGCAAATGTCTCTTATCTAAATATCTTTGTCTATCAAGTAAAGAAGGTATTGTCCAGTAAAGTTACTGATATTTTTCTTAACCTGTCATTCTCAGTTAGTGTACAATTTTGTTGAAATGGACCTTGTCCATTTGAATAATTTTTCCGTAAGAAATGAAAATGTGTTTCTGCAAGTTTTTTTTAGTGGATATGTATCGTGTAAAGATAGGGTCTTAGTTGAAAATCATTGTGCAACTAGTCACAGAGGCTTAGTTTTAAGGAAGTAAGGTAACAGTATCAGATACTTCACGTGGTTGCTTTTTTATGCCAGCAGTCCAATTGTGCATGTTTGAGCCAAAAGAAGTATCATATTATCATCACAACAAATAAATTTTGTAAACTATAATTTATATACTTACTTTCTTATCTTACCCTGTTAAAGGTAATCATTCTTAAATGATTAAATCTATGTTTAGCAAAAATATTTTCATATTAAGTGTTGATCACTGATGAAATAACTTGTTGACTTTAAAAAAATAAGTGGATGGTGAAATAACATTGATCTGAATGATGCTTCAATTAGGATTTGTTATTGCTTCATTTTGGCTTGGTCTGGTGTTATCATTCTCTAAAACATTGACTTTTCATTGTCATCGTCTTCCAGATTTCTACATTTTGCAAGGCTCTCTTGAACGAATATGCTTCTAAACTGAATCTAGAAAGACCTACATACAACACTGTTCAGCTAGAAGGGGTGATTCCTGTTTTTAAATCTTCTCTAGTTTTCAATGGTATGAGTTACACTGGTGAGGCAGCTAAAAGCAAAAAGGAGGCTGAGCAGTTAGCTGCTCGTGCTGTTATTCTTTCAATTCTGGGTATCTTTTTGTGTATGCTTTATTGCATATTTTTAATAAATTTTTGGTACCAATGTGCTTGCCCACTAAACGAGTATTTAATGCAGGTAATTCTGGTTCAGGAACAAAGCTCATTGAGATGATTAAGTCAAAATCTAAACTTTATGACATGTTCAAAGGAAAGGGTTTGCAAGATATTCATGCTAGTGCTGTGTCATCCGCAGCAACTATAAGAAATACCCCTGTTGAACTGGGTAATAAAGATATGGGTGTTGCAGGTTCTGTGGCCAATTATGATAATGAAACTAAAGTTGAATTTCCTGAGTCTTCTAGGACGCTTTCCACGTGTCACGAGTTTCAGATGCCAAAACAAGGATCAGCTCCTGGAACCTCCAACTCTGCAGATGTGTTCCTGCAATCAGGTTCAGCACATTCTACTGATGACAATTCAAGTCTGAAAAATCGGAAAAAGAACAAGAAGGCTAATAAGAAGCCACGGTTGGAATCGAGGTATGTTTCTTATAATATATGTTATGTTTCTCTCAATGTTATCAATGGTGGATGTCGGGTTTGAGTCACACTCAAACTATGAGTTACTCTGATGCAGATTAGGCTGGTTCCCTATTGATAGGAGATCCATTTCTAGATATTATGTTCTTATTAGTGGTAATTTGATTTTCTGGAAAAGTAAGAAACAAAGTGTAGTTGCTCGATCTAGTGTAAAAGCAAAATATGAAACCATGGCCTAAGCTACATGCAAACTTATTTAGTTGAAACAATTGCTCAAAGAACTGATATTTGGAGAGGTTATGAAAATGACACTCATTTGCTACAATTAGATAGCTTTGCATATTGCTTTAAATCCAGTATTTTATCTTATGAAAGAACAAAACATATCAAGATAAATTGTCATTTTATTAGAGAGAAAATCTTATTTAGAGACATCAATGCTAGTTTTGTCAATTTGAATGATCAACTGGTAGATGTCTTCACCATTTATGAGAGGTTCTCATATTAGTTATATATATAACAAACTCAATGCATTATGATCTATGCAAATCCCTTTTTCTTTTGTCGTGTCCATATCTGTGACTTTCCCTGCAAACAATTTTTTTTTTTCATTATTTAATCTACGTGTTGTCTGACTGCATTTTCCACACTCCATATGGATCTTGAAGCTTTGTCTGTAGCCAATATCCAGTGATATTAACTGCATTGTGTATTAAGTAAATGAGAGTGGATATATAAGTAATGATAAGTAATAATTCCTACATACTTCTCATTCTAAAGAAAAGTTATTCATCTTGCAATCCGTTGAGATCGTCCTAGTTTCATCAGACAAGTGCACTATTTGCATACTGAAGCTTGTGTCTAGGTAAAAGAACTTTGTGTTTGTACTTTGTATTATGTAGTGAGGGAGGATATATAATGCTTGTTTTAGTGGCTTTATAATGGAATGGGATTTAAGCTAGATATGTGCACGTTCTTGTTTGTGTGGAAGACAAAGCTAGGTTTTTTCATGTGGATTTGTCTTTTGATTAGTTGGATGTTCTGTTGTGAGAATTTGCAGGTTACTAGTTGCTGCATTTCCCTTGAACCAAGACCCTTCTTGTTCAGTGGCGCAGTAAAAATGTGGAAATGATGGAATTCTGGTATATGTCGTAAAATCAACGAATCCTTGTTTGTGGATAAAAGGTCGAAGTTCAAAAGAAAAAGAAATGATGGAATTCTTGTATATTTCGTAAAATCTTTTGATTAGAAGACCCTTCTTGTTCAGTGGCTTTTGTTTTTCATTTATTAAGCCTATGCCTTGTATATTTTGGGTTGGGTTTCAAGCTTCTGTTGAAAATGCACTGATTTACTCCCCAGGAGCCCAGCTGGCACCGCATTCTGACCATGTCTTCTACTTCTATCTGTTATGTGGGTTTACCCATCACCGACACTACTTTTGTTTGTGTCAATGGTGACAGGTGGCGAGCAGGTGACGGTGACTCATTTTGGTTTTTGGTTTCTGCTAACATGATTATTTACAAGTAGTTCCTAAATTCCTAATAATGTCACGGGTACTGCATTGTATGGTTGAGGAGGAGAGGAGATATAAATAAATTTATTATTATATATTTCTCATTTTCAAATACTTCTATTTTTGAAGGAGAGATAAAGTTAAGGGAGGAGTTATTTTTGTTCATTTCCCTTCTAAAATATTGAACTAAATTAGAAGTTATAAAAATCTCTTCTTTCTCAATTTTTTTTAACTAAACACTGTACATCCATGTTATGATATTGCTCATGGTTCAGGAAGACTGGAATTAAAAGAATTGAGACTGAAAATTATAAGAATTGGACGAGAGTTGAATAAATAAAACTCATACAGGCATAATGAATAATATTTCTTAGTGTTTGATTGCTTTTTCATCTTTACTAATGAAGTTTGAAAGTGCAATTAGTTTGAAAGACTGAAAGTTTATTATGCTATTTTTTTTTCGTCTCCTTGGCTTACTGATAAGCCATGGCCATAAGTCAAAATGTAGGGTTTCGTGAAATAAAAATATCATGTACGTTATTGAAATATTGATAGCGTAAACTGTTTCTTGTTGCAGACGCCATGGGATTATTAGTAGGCTACTTGTGTTATATCAGTAATCTTTGGTATCCAATAAGATAATGTAGAAAGGTGAAGTTCAGAGATAGACCAATGGAAAGGGAAAGAGAACTAACAAAATTTGGGACAATTAATAGATAGCAAGTTTCTTTAAATATGCTGGCAAAGATTTAAATGGGAAAAATACTAAACGGTACGAACTTTCTGTTACAAAATGGTGAAGGGGTGATTTTCAGTTGATTTCACCATTATTTTCATCTTTAACATATTATTTTCATCCATTTTCATTTTGTCGTGATGGTTTTGTTCCATTTAGCAAAGTTGTTTTAGTCGGTTAAGAGTTTAAAAGGGTTATTAATTTTAAATTAAACTAATATTATCTTATATTTTTACTTGCTCACTTTAAAGATAAGTTTCCTAGATTTGACTCATCTAAGGTGAGGAGATGTGTAAAGTGAAAAAGTAAGCATACATCTACCATTGATTTGAATTTAAACATTTATTATATATAATTAACTTTTAATCTAAGGTAAATTTATACATCTTTTCACTTTAGAGGAGTGAAATCCTAGTTCTCCACATATATAAGTGAGCAACCTAATATCCACATTATGAAAGATGTAAACATCGTTTTTTAGTTTTGGGTGAATGACATCGCTATTTGCCAAGTACCAATGTAGTATACGGGCTGGCACTGGCAGCCTGGTCCTTGGGTACATCACACTGCCAATTACAACTCAAGATTAGTTGACCAAAAAAAAAAAAAAACTGAACATTATTGCTTTTGACAAAAAAATAACAACACTCAAGATAACAGCTCATACTGCTCACTACTATGAATCGTGTAAATACCTTACTGTTAGTTGTTACTTATTGGAGACAAGCCCGAAACCAAGATATTTGAGCACATTCCATCTTAGACACAACGTCAACAATTAGTATATGTAGTATTATATGCATTGAATATTTGAGAGAGAGATGAGCTAGAAACATTTCATTATTTAGTGTTAACCTGTATTTAAGTGTAATATTATATTACTTAAACTAGCCAGGTGTATTCAATAAACAATGGCAATCTAGATGAGAACACTAATTGGCAAATTCTGAAGATGTTTACATAATGTTCTTGTGGATTTAGAAGATAGGGAAAATTCTGATTTGCTCCCTGATTAAGACTTTCCAAGTTCATGGTAACAAGGACACAATTAGACAGTCTGCATGAGACAAGGAAAAGGAATTGCTCATTTTCAATGCCAGCTTTGGTTTTTCCCCCCCTTGCCCCGAAATTTGCTTGTCTTTAGAACTAAACATGTGAATGATGATCTTCTTTGTGTCTATAAAAGATATACTTAACTGTCTTTATGAGTAGCCAGAAGAAGTTCTGCACAAAAAAGAAAGATAACCTTAAAAATGAACATGTCATGAAGGAAAAGAAAAACTGAGTTGATTTCAGGAATTCCTTTTGGTTTTAAAAATTCAGTCTGATGGAATCTGTTCAAGAGAATGTTGACTTTTTTCCTTTGCCAACAGCTAATGGTAACTGAATTATTTATGCTTAAAGATATCAGTGATGCTATTGTTCGGACTAACATACATTTGTTTATGTCACTCTTTTTTTAACAAGTTGAAGTATGCTATATGTTTATAATATTTTTGGTCCAAGTCACAAATTGCAGTTAGTATATGCATTCTGTAACACGGTGGTCTTAAATTGTAACAAAACAATAGCATTTAGATTATTCTGTCATGCAATTTATTTATACGAAGTTTTGAAGCAAAAGCGATAGTGCTTCCATGTTAGTATTTTAATTTTTGCTATGCTAGTAATTTTCTTGAGCTGAGATGTTATCAACAAGACGTTTTAACCTCTTATTTTTATTATTAAAAAAATTCAGAAACGAACATTAATGCATGTAAATGTAAAAACCTATATAGCTCTTCTTAAGTATAATTTAAAATATCAGTTACACAATATTGGTATTGCAGATGGTTTTGGTCATTGTTTTTAACACATTATACTTATTAAAAATATAATCACTATACTTACATCTTCTTTGTTGTTATTTACTAAATTATTATCTTTTTGACTATTCATTTAACATAGTTGAAGTGTAAATACATCAATGTCTTAAACATCCAATTCAATTATAAAATTGTAATTGTAAAATCATAAATTTAGGCTATGTTTGAGAGTTAGGTTTAGGAAGAGAGAAAATGGGAGAAAAAGGATTAGAAAATGTTATCTTGTTTGGGAATTGCTTAATTAAGAGGAAAAGGTTTTGAGAGTTTTTCTAAATCCTCTAAAAACCTTCAAAAGCTTGTTTTTTGAGTTCCTCCATTTTAAGGATTTTCTCTCTCTCACTTTTTCATATTATTTTGCAAATAGAATTTTTTTAAATTTTTTTTAAATGTTAATTTTTTCAGTGATAATTTTTTTTAAAAAAATTTAAAAATAAAAATATTAATTTTAAAATTATTTATATAATTAAACTCCCTTATCACCTTCCCTTCTCAATATTAAACATTTAAACAAGGGAAGGGTTTAACCTTCTTCTTTCTTCAAACTCTTCTCCCTCCAAACTTCCAAACAAAACCTTAAGAAATTAACTACACTTGATAGAATGTCTTGCACCATTGATTATATATTTATCTTTCGTCCTGCAACCGGTATTTATCTTATTATATACTTCTTACTTTCTCAAAACGTGCTGATATGCGTGTTACTCTTTTATTTATTTAGTTTTTAGCTGTATTTTTGTATATAAAAGTATACACAAATTTTCAAAAAAATAAATAAATAGAATCTACATTTTGAGATTATTAAAATTGATTTCAAGAAAATGTTATATTTCTTTGTGTGTACTTAAAAATTTAAATTTATATTAATGAGATTTTTATCTAAAATGTTCTAATTATTGCAAGTAACCAATTGAACGTGACCTTAATTACGATCTCTCCCTAACTAGTAGGAATTCATGCTATATATATGAGACTACGTCATAAGCCTTGAATCCAAGAAGGTTAATTATTTATACTTCCTATACAAGAACCCTTCATGCCAAGTTTTAAAAACGTTCCACGTTACGTTTCTCTGCATATTTGCCAATCTCAAAATTTACCCAAAAATAAAAAATTATAACTCGGGGAAAATAAATGGAATTATATACAAAAACCATCTTGCAAATCAGTGCTATCTTAGCCAGTTCAATAACTAGTACAGAATGTTAAATTGTTAACATATGGTACATAAAATAGAATATGAGCTCACGTGCTTAAGTAATACAAGGAAGCATGTAAGAAGCAACCCAAAGCAGCATCAGCTTTTTCATCAAAGTGAGACTAACCAAATCGGGAATCAAATAGACGTGGGTTTGGCGAAGGATCCGGCGACCCTTATGCAACTTTGCTCTTCTTTTATCTTCAATGCATTCTCTTTTGCCAGCTAACAATCCCAATGTGAAGATGAATTAAACTAACATTTTTGAAATTCGTAAACATATACATCAATATTTTAGTATTAGATTTTGATTTCTTGTTCCCTCATCATAGTTAAGATTTCAGTTAAGTACTATTACTCCAATCTCCATCAATACAAATAAATGGTGGTTGGTTTTTTAAAGCTTGAACATCTATAAAGAGGCCTCATTCACTAGTTGTCATGCACATTTTTGATCTGCTAGAACAAACCATAGTTGCTTTTGCATTTGGGTTTTCTCTAACTCCTTAATGGCACTCTCTTATGGGGTCAATAATGAATACCAAAAATCTGTGGTTGAAGAGGAAGATGGCTCACAGAACACTAATGGGCTCAGCAATGATTCAGCTTCAGCCATAACCCGTTCTCCTCCTCTGTGTGGCAATGGCAATGGGTATGTTTATAAGGGCACAAATTGCCAACTTGAAGAAGCTGAATCTCTGATTAATTTCAAAGCCAATGAGTGCAACAACCTCATGCAAGGTAGTGAATCTTTGCTTAGCTTTAACCAAAGTTGGCTGGTCTCCAAAGCGAGTAATTTGCATGAAGGTTATAACCAATGGAACCATGTTAGTCCTAGAAGCACCACAGACATGCGCCTAATGCATAATTTTAGTTGCTTTGAAACTGCCAGTGGCTATAGCTCCATATTCCATAGTGCAAGAGAGAAACAACATGCTGAAAGTTCATCTGGGTGGCTATTTTCTGAACCAAATGTCCCTAGTGATAGCCTACATGAGTCAGTAGCACAAGAATTGGTCTTGAGGAAGCGCTCTTCTATGGTATTTTATTGCTTTCTCAATTATACCTTAACCATTTTTCTTAAAGAGCTTTCAATGTTTAAAACTAGTGGTTGGAGAACTCTATCTATGAATTTAGAATGAAAATTGAGGTCAGTTTTTGTGTTCACAGGGAGAGAACATGCAAGCTGCCAATGCGAAGAAGCCATGCACTGTTGCAAGTAAAGCTGCAAAACCTAAGTCAAACCCATCTAAGGATCCTCAAAGTGTTGCTGCCAAGGTTTGCTTCAAACCGAAGTTAAATCATATTTGATTGTTCCAAGTTTTGATTGCAAATTAAGAAAACTTAAAATATGAGATTCAATGTTGATGGAATGTTTGTTTCACAGAATAGAAGAGAGAGAATAAGTGAGCGGCTTAAGATACTACAAGAACTGGTACCCAACGGCTCCAAGGTGCTTTTTCAAAACTAGCCCTGAAAAGTTTCTTTTTTTGCACTTCCCTTGTAGCAATAACTGAGAAAATGATCATATAATTGGCAAAGTTGAAGCTTCAACTAACCAAATTCTGTATGAAATTTTACTTATCAGAATATGGTTTAATTTTGTTGATAATATTTTCAGGTTGATTTGGTTACCATGTTGGAGAAAGCAATTAGTTATGTGAAGTTTCTGCAGTTGCAAGTGAAGGTGGTACTTGCACACAGTCCACAAATTTTCTTCTTCTTTGAATATATGTAGTTTTATGGTCCTGTACAATTCTTTATGTATGTTCAAATATTCAGTTTCTTCAAATTAAGGTAATGGCTTTAAATTGAAAACTTGATTGTGACATCATTGTTCTTTACTTGTTCATGGTGCAGGTGTTGGCAGCTGATGAATTTTGGCCTGTCCAAGGTGGAAAAGCTCCTGACATTTCTCAAGTAAGACAAGCCATTGATGTCATTCTTTCATCGCAAAGATGAAATGAAGATCATGGATTAAAGAAAGATTCAAGTACAAACTTTGCAGAACAAGAAAAGCCTAGTTCTGGAAGTAGAGGCACTTCTGAAGGGCATTTTAGTAATTCAGAATGCATGACCTTTTCTAATTTGTTAACTTATAAATCAAGATCTAGCAGCAAAATTAAGCATCTTGTGTTTCAGGCCTTGTTTGCGTATATGCTGGGGGTTGCATCCTTGTCCCAGGATTTCATTCACGAAGTATCTGTGTCTACTTTGTACTTCTCCCAGTACTAGTGGAGATGCAAGTCTTCTAATAAATATTTGACTACCTCTTCAACAGTTACATATAGTATATGAGTTTATGTTCAGTTCATTATTAACATTGGAAAAGGCAAAACAATAAAAGATAGGAAGCTAAAATTCACAATTAAAATTTATTTATATTGAAATGTAGCTGTCTTAAATTCTAAGAAGAAGGGTTTTGTGTCCAATAATAATTCCATTCAGTTCGAATATAGTTGTCTCCACAATTCTCTAATGAAGAATATATATAATCTAAACAAAAAAAAAATATTTATATTGGATCAACCACGTTCATGAATTACAAACAAAAATTAGTATAAGATTTCTTAAATTTGGAAACATTTTTTTAAAATTTTGGCTCCATTTTCTTTAATTTGATTTAGAAATTATTTTTTATATGCAAGTATATAAAAAGAATTAAAAAATAAGAATAAAAATAAATTATCTACAATATTACTTGTAATGTCATTTTTTAAATATTTCAATAACATAACTATAAAAGATGTTAAGGACAAATTACATTCACATATCTGATGTTTTAAAAAATAATGCTCGATATCCCTTTTTTTAATTAACATTACTTTAACAATGAAGTGTATGCAGTGTTATATTATTAAATAAATTAAAGAAAGTTTGTGTAGGATAAAACGAAATGAGAGTTAAATTTTGGGAGAATGTGAATATAATTTACACCAGATATAAATCATATACTGTTCTTTTGACTTTTCTCTCAGTTGAATATGAGAGTGAGCTGTTGCCAATGAAGTGGTTATGGTAGATGAAACATCTTGGAGGCTTGTATACTTCTTAATATGCTGTCTAACATGGTAAGTTGGCAATTGACGTATAGATAAATTAAAATCCAGTTACTAAGAATAAAAATGCTTATCAGTAAGGTTATTATTAATATTTATAGTCAGGTAAATGACTAATGCATCAGCATCACTGACTTTATAGCCTAGCTAATTGCATGAAACCAAGAATTTCGTGACCCAGCCAAATAAATTATTATTTTTAGTTCAAAGGAGGGTCAAGCAAAGGGAAAATGAGAAAGAAAGAAAAAAAAAAGAAGGAAAAGAGGCTCCTCGTTTCATTAGTAAGTGATGAAAGGAGAGAAAAAAAATATAGTAATATACTGTTATACGTTTATATGTATCAATGAAGGGAGCGAGTAAATAAAATCTCAATGAATATACTTCAAAAATTATAAATTATTTTTCTATTCCAATCCTCCATTATTAGAGAGGAGATAAAATTAAGAGGATAATTAATTAGGGATTTTAGTATTCTCATTCCTTTCCTCTCTTTGTTCTCTTCCACTTTCCTCAAATTAAATGCATTACAAGTAACGTCTAAAAGAATGTTATAAACCAATGAGATAAGCTTATTTATCAAACAGCTGTATTTGGTTAAATAAATTATAAGTCACCTAAAATGATTTATTAAACATATTCATAGATAATTTTATATAAGTTTTATAAGTTGCTCATTTTCTCTCATACGAGTTTAGTTACTGCTTGTTAGTACTTTGATGTTACTTTGAGGTGTGTTAGACTATACATTTTCTCTTGTGATGCATGCAAACAAGTGATAGTAATAACTACCGAATATGTTATTTATATAACAAATTTTACAATTTTTACATACTCTTGTCCTCTCGTATCTAATTTTTCTGTCACATTAATCATTTTACAACATGTTTTTCCTTTTTTTATCTTGTCTCTCTCATGCATAAAAAAATATTGTAAAATTATATTGTATAAAGCACGTTACACTTTATCATAGATAAAACCCTGTTTTCTACTAGCAAGCATTTTATCTTGGACTTATTTCATTAACAAGTTTGTAATAATCCGATGCTAATTTATCAAAAGAGTAGGGGGAGACATTTGATCACGTTGAGGGCCATACACTCAAACCACCTGCCTCTATTGCTCTGGTCACGCGTTATGCTGCCTTTAATCACATTTGAATTATCTCATTTTTGTTAAGATTAGGGATAATTAGCCACATTATGAGAAAATATCACAACCTTTATGGTGAAATTATAAGGGTACTTCGCACGAAGCCATATTTTGTTTATGTCTTTCTCCTAATAACTGAAGATTATCACGTTCTTAAGAAAATTGACATGATTCAAATTAATAGTTCAATTATCCAAATCAACGTTAACACGCATCTCCATAATTTTGACTATATATTATCACGGAACCCTCAATGCTTAACTAGTAAAGTATCTATAATTCAAATCTAAACCCAATATTTTCTAATAGCTAACAGTATCATTTCCTAAATGTATTTTTGTTAGCATATATAACATTATTAAAGCACATAAGAGTACCCTATTAATGTAAAATCCTGAAAACAGATTAAAAATCTTTCCAATAATTGGCTTCTTGCTTTCTTTATCAGCCTAAGTGAATGTATTAGGATCTTCATCCATTTGAGTTGACTAAGGTGTGAAATAATATAATAAGGTGGATCAATTAATATTTAAGATAACGTACTCCCAGATTTAGTTGCAGTAATTATATGCATCTAGTTACATTGGTTATAGTCTTAAACACGTTTGATTCCATGGTTTCCATCTTCAACTCCTCATGCATTTGATAACCCAATGGGTAATTGACCAAAATGAAAGCATTATCTTGATGAGCTAGGCATGCACATGACTCTCCGTACAGTTGTTTTATGCTTAACTTTGTGAAAACAAATAATTAAAAGATTCATATCTTATAGAGATTCACTCATAATGTATTATCTTCGATCATTCTAAGTTGCACTTCAATAATTTCATTATTTTTCTATGTGCTGTAATTTTCTTCAGAAGGAAGAGGGGGACCATTACGCACGTGTGACTTTTAATAAGGGTCACATGGGCATGGGGAATCACATGTCCAAGCCCACAAAAATCGGTGACACTACACTATACATTCCCAATGAATACTTAATTCAATGAATAATACACTAGAAATGGAATAATAAGTCTTTATTACATTTAAAATGTACGAATAATTTTAAGTAGTTGATTTCCTGTTCCTCTCATCATAGTTGCTTCCCATTTACTTGGACATAATTGTTTCCCATCCACTTGGGCATTTTTTTAGTGCTATTTGGATTTTCAAGTAAATGATTGGCATAATTCTCTTTATACGATTAATTAATGTTTTGTACCAAAAAGGATATATTTACTAGAATAGTGAGGGAAAAAATGATGTTGTTATAGAGTAGTCAGAAATAACTAAAAGTTACGTAGAAGAACCTACAAAAGTCAAATTCACTTCGTTCCAAAAACCTCTTTCTATCTGTGAAATTCAAGGCTAATTTTAAGTTCTCCAAACTAAGATGGTTAGCTTCAAATTTTAATTATGCTAAATAAAGTGTTATTAGCATGGCGGCCAACAAATTGTTAATTTGTCTAGTTTCTTTTCTGCACCTTAAGGATAATAACGTCTTAACAAGACTCAAGTATAAATAAAAATTCGATGTTTTTATAGAATTTTTAGGAAGAGGAGATGGAGCCTCATTTTAAGGGAGACCCCCTTTTGCTTTATTTGACTAAATTTTTAGGGTTAAATAAAAAATATATTTATCTCCTTTAATATGGAAGATGCACAAAATCAATGTTTATTTCATTTAAAATTAGATATATTTATGAAATATTTAAATTCAAATTAATAGTAAATAAATCTCCACTTTCTCATTTTGCATATTTTCTTAATTTAAAACATATTAATGAATAAATATATACTTTAATTAACAAACAACTGATAATTAACTGTTCAAATGAATGCTCTAAATTGAAAATGACTATATTAATTATTTTCTAAAAATATTTAAATTAATTCATACACATCTTATTGTCAAACCACGGCTATCCCTTACCATAATTTATTTTATATTTTTAATTTGTGTCTTTGAATTATATATAATAATATGCTAGTCCACATAATTCCGTTCCTTCAATGAAAACAATAATATATTTTCAATCGCGACTTAATTAATTAGTTAAAGAAGATTTGCAAAACCTGGATAGAAATTAATTAAGACAGGTATACCTGTTTTCATCTGCACATTATGGTGGCAAATACAGCTCACAAAGTTAACACATACAAATTATATATTTAAATTCATGAGGGACCATGTAGCTAAGGAATGGTTTAAATTGCCCACATTCAAATTGTCATATCAATTCGCATATAAGCCTGGATCTGCATCATGGAAATAGGCTGGTACCAAATCCCTGGAATTAACCCTTTAAAACACCTAGAAATTAGACATCTAATTTTTTCATTAAAAGTATGTGAAAAAATTCTTTCTATTACTCATAAGTCTAAATTTTTTAAGCTGATTTAAGGATATTTTATTAAAAAAATTGAATCTCAAATAATAGAAAAGCTTTTTTCACAATTTTAAAAAATTTCACGTAAACAAATATAGAAAAGGTAAATTAAACTTTTTCTAAAAAATAATATTAAATATTAATGTAAACTTACTTTTAAAAAATTAAATATAAATAAAAAACTGCAAGTCATCCGATTTTGTGCCCAAGGATAAGATATGCAGGGAAAATCTTGATAATCATAATGAGAAGACATCAACTAAAGCGAACACCTCATGCAACTGACTTCTGTCTCCCACTGATGGGAAAATGATGTTCTTTGGAACGATTTGACAAACTCAACGAGTGGAATCATTTCTTTCTATACTTTTCTCAG